AACTGGTTTGAATCAGGCAACCCTCTCTGATATCAGGCAATGGCAACATTGACAGCACTCTCCAAGGCGCAGAATTCACCTGTAGACAATCCTCAAGCTGTCAGTAGCATAAATACCTTCATTTGGTCGAGCTTTCGTTCGGTGCGCGCCCTCCCCCATCTCGCACCGAGCGTTTTACCAGCGTCACATCGTCAGGTTTCAGGTCAGGGGGCGCTGGACGATCCCAGGTGTATGGTGCGCTGAGTGGCAGATGCCACTAGTTCATTTCGGCGTTCGGATTTGCGCACAAATCCATCAAGTCAGTCCTGACATCTTCGATCTCATGCACGTCTATTTGGGTTTCTCAGTCGGCCTGTGCTGCTATTTCTCAAATTTCAATGCGTACTTGGTACCAAGTGTGGATTGCTTGTAAACCTTCAACCCTCAAAGTCCTCCGGGGCCCTCTCCAGCCCCAGCTGATCTTAGTGGTAAATCTACATCATAATCATTTTTAACAGTGGTACGCATCTGTACTCTAATTTCATATATTTTGTCAACACCCGCAGATTTTGTTCTTTCGATTTGGGTCTTGGTCGGGATCTTGGACTCTTTTTCACATACTTCCCATGTCGTGTACTTTGGCGGGGTCAGACTAGCTTTTTCTGTGACCTACCCTGTTCGTACTATGTAAGACTCTCCTGTGCCCACCCATGAAGAGAATATAGCCGTGGTATGACGTGTCACTGCGTGTCGAAATAATGGCGTGAAAACGTGCAAATACGGCCTTGATTCGTGATGAAGGCGAAACCGGTCTGCAGCCTTGGTTTGAAAGTGTAGTGTTATTTCTTGGGCGGTCAGCTCGCACCGAAGCTTACGTGTGCCTACTATTAAGTACAAGAGATTGCGAATAACGTCCCGAATGTCCCAATGTCATAGCTACATGCCAGTGAGAGCCATTACTATCCACAAATCAAAGCACAACATGACAGTGATCGTAACAACACATCACCCATCCAGTACTACCTGAAAGAAACATAGCGCTAACGCCGAGTAGAGTCATAACAATGGTGCCACAGGACTCCGTAGGCGAATTAACTAAGGCCCAGCTGCAATCAAATGTTGGGTATCACCAGTACATTCCTTGGAACATACATCCATGACTGGTTTATGAGATGGATAGGAAGCCAGTACAGAAGGCGGCCTTTGGGACCCACAAGCCAGCCCTCTTCATTAGGGAAAAGGGCCCGTGGCTTAAACTGTTCCCAAAATCGAGCTGGATCTTTGAGAGCATGGGCGGGATGGGAAGAATAGCGAGTAGGAAGTGGAAGCAGGTGACAATTGTTGTCTGGCGCTACAACGCCCACATCAAAGTAGTTTCAGATCACCACACGTATAAAAGAGATGATGGAACTTACAATTATGTGCATCGCATAGATCCAATGGTCCTGCCCTGGATACAGACGCTGAGAGTGGGGAATCAGATGAGACGTGACATCGCCCGTATGTCCTTCGAGGGCAGGGTGCGATTGCACGCCCGTCTGCGCATCCCACACACGGATTGTGTTGTCGTCAGATCCGGACACAATGTGTCGTCCATCAGGCAAGAATGCCACAGAAAAGACACTGCTCATATGACCGTCGAAAGCAGGAAGCAATTGCACGCCCGTCTGCGCACCCTACACACGGATTGTACATTATAATGAGCATATAACGTATCCAAGCCCGTCCGAGAATAGAATCGCACCACTTGAAGGTCAGGGTCCTTGCGACCAGGCATGACACAGATCAGTTGTTCTGCATCGTTGTCATTGGGCAGAATTGCCCTATTTCCGTGTTGAAGACTTTCAATCACAGAAAGGCCAGATAATCGGGTCGTCGTCATAGCTATAGCCCACGTCCGATGCAAATCGGACGACACCAGACGGTGAATGTCCTCGTGTTCGACCTGTTTTCGATCATGAGTAAGATCAAAACACTTTGCTACTGGACGTGCGAGAAACCCGCCTTGTCTAAAAACGCTCAGCCGCACCAGGAGCTATACGAGACCCAAGATTATGAGACCAGAGCTGAGGGAGAGGGGGGTAGGGGAAGTGGTCGAAGGACAAGCCGTTATCTATCCTCATCACACGCGCTCAGTGTGGTTTCGGGCATCACCTTCGTGACAGCTTCTCAGCTCACGCTCGCTGGAAAGAACATCGTGACTAGTTTCTCCGTGAGCGACATATCAATATGCAGCACTTCGTTCTCACAAAAAGCTTGCATTGGAACTGACCTGCCCGACTCCTAACCATGATATGAATATGCAACCAATAGTGCAAAGTTCTTCATCGTATGGTCGAGTATATGATATCAACCTTGTGGTGCTTCAGAATCCACGAGGAATCCATACCATAGAAGATTACCCAATACTTACAGCCAGAGACAGCCGCAGGATGTACAGCCTAGAACGCAAAAATGTGTTATGACCGTGGGCCTTTCGACTGCTGGCAGCAAAGGCCTCTGTATTCGGATCTCAGCTTGTGGCTCGGACGTGAAGCATAGCACACTACACACCTTGAAACACCGCATAATTCACGCTTTCAAAGTCAAAGTGAGCTATGGGACAACTAGAATCCCTCTGCACTAGTCGCTGCTCCTGCCTGCTTATAAAATCCTTGTGCTGACACATACGTATTTGCTCTGGGGCGCCACTTTCGCTAGGTATGTTCTAACTTCATCATGAATCATCTGCTGTGACCGAAAGCGGGCAGCGCCTTGTCGTTCAAACTCAAGACCGTGCAGATTTCGAGTACTATAGGACGCAGAAGCGGAGCAGAGGCAGAGCAACGACCCGTTCAATGGGGCTTCCCACGTGCACAGGCCGCGACTGAGTTCAACAACCCCACATTCATCCTCTCTGCATCTCTATCCTCAGGTTGTTTCATTGGACGCTTAGACGCTTACTAGACTGACTGAAAAATGACAGATGGTGCAGTGAAGATCAGCTCGAGCCTGTGGTGATTCTGCACAATCACCGAGCAAGGGCTGCGGGATTTTGGTTGCCTTCTAACATCGCTTGATCCAACTCGCTCAACCTGCAACCGGGGCCTGACCAGGCTTATGGACCTCGAGACCAACTCAAGTTGGATGATACCAGCTTGCTATCAAAGCCTACAGCAAAGTCTCACCTGGTGGTGTGTGTGCTTCATCATCCTTCATGCTCGCACCCATAGGATGCACCCCGTCAGGTCAGCTTACGGACAACGGTCATATGCTGGGCATGAATTTTATAGACAACGCCCAGATATCGCATCCTTGGATACAGACTTTTCTCTGCGAACCTCGCAGCGCGGACATGTCCAGTGCAGTGCAAGCCTTCTGCATGCATTTCTTCAAACATCAGAGCTGCTTGGTCCGTCCTCAATCTATGTCAGGTCATCTCACAGCCCCTCATGCGGTATTTCTTGACGTTACAACCCCATTTACGTCCAGGATTCCCACTCAAACCGCGCCGTAGTGACCGCTACCTCACAACGAGGCGATGGACACGCTCTTGCACGCAACGTGGCGCAGCCGTACAAATCAGGCGGTCCTCACACAATCGCTCTACCCTTTCTCACTGCGTTGAGCGGCAGTGCGCAATGATACGATTGAGCGGAAGAGAATAGTGAAACAATGCTGGCACTGCGGGGAATGATGGTGTTGCAGTGTGCACCCGAGCTCAAGCTAATGTGGTCACCGCTATGTGTGCACGGCAGGCAGAACAGCACAGAGCAAGCGTTGAGCGCTTGAGAAATGATGCTGCGTCTGGCCAGCAGAGTCTAGAGAAGATGCAACTTGCGCGTAGGACACTTAGTACTCAAGTCGACGATGACAACGGCGAGACGACGTGCTTGGTATGAAGGGTAACATATTGTGTAGACGCAATGTCTAATAGGAGCAGGGATGATATGAAAGGTAGGTATTGTACGGCTCGGGGATGCTGCTAGGAAGTGTGCGCACATCTGCATCTACAGTCCGGAGTCCAGAGTTGTCGCCCAGATGCACAAATTTTGCTGGGCCACGCTTCCTTTTCCCCCTTTTCCTGGGACTAGTTCGCCCAGGTTGCTTTGTTCGAATGGCTTGCTACTGCTCTCAAGGTTCCACTTTGAACAAGCACAGTCAGCGTTCAGGACCCCGCATACGTGGTCGATGAGCTGAGATTGAGGCTGTAAAGGCACGTTCCCAAGAAAGACTTGGCTGTACAAAAAATAATCATTTATCCCACTAAGAACTCTGACAAGACCGTCAGCGCAAGAGCAGAAGAGACTATGCAGAGTAAGTAGAATAAATGGATAATGACGATGGCGCGTTAGTCAAAGGGCTCACTAGTTCGTGTATTACAAGCCCATATGGCGAGCATTCACAATAGTGGTAACTCCTACATATCCAGATTATTACATCGCCCGCAACGTGGAGTGCTACTTGCACACGCAGTGTGGTAGCCACCTGTTGTAGTAACGGACGACTATACCTACGTGGTCGTTGCTATGATCCGTATGACGAGACAAGGCCCACATGTCGCCATACAAATCTCTGCCACCCAGCTACATTTCGAGAACATTTGACACCAACCAGACTAAGAACTCTTGTTCCGTATGCTGGCACATTGGAGCCAACACATGGTGCGACCAAACATACGCGGTCCACAAGCTGAGACTTGGGCAGTCAAGGAACATCCCCAAGAAAGAAGGGGCTGCAAAAAACTGATCAACGGCCCCAATAAAGACTCGCACAAACTCGCCTTCCCACTGACCGCCCAGATCCATAAGGCCCTTTCGTCGAGGAGGCTCGGCTGGCTACCAGTAGTGCGACGCTGCTGTTCCAGATGAGACTCGAGCACGAGGCATCGTCGGTGCAAGACACAGTCTCGCCATGGACTCAGTGGCCATGGTCGAGTCAGAGCCGTCAGGTTGCCATCACGAGCGAGTGGGGTCGAAATCCCGAGCAAGGCGGAGTGGACCGAGTGTGGGAATTGCCCGATCTTGTTCTGCGACCTCGGGCCGGACCGATATTGCCGGCGTGTCGGACTCTGCTGCATACCAGCTCCAATGCGCACCCTGGAGAGCAGAAAATGTAAGACGAGATTCACAGAACCGTCCTTGTGTGACATGACGCACTCACCCCGCAGTCCTATGTACCCAGTCCAAATGCCAGGTCAACCGATTTTTCTTCCTTTATGATCTTTGCTGATATCTGGTGTCCACATCTCTCACACCTATAATCATCCAGAGCACTTGGAACGCCAAGGAAATGGCCTGCTTTCCATCTCCATCCCATACGTGGGAAAACAGAGGGCTATTCAGGGCAGAGTCAGCGGATGAGTGCCCTTCATCGGGCCGCATGTACACCTCAGGATTACAGCTACTAGCATCCAGCTCCATCAATGGCGTGTAGACCTGGGTGAGTTTTTAGAAATTCGCATTTGTATAGAGACCTCACAGCATGGCTGTCTCCAGTGTAGCATAGGTTTCTCACCCGCCATGCCCTTCAGCCTGTGCTACACGTAAAACATACTCGCTCCAGGACACCATGCCCGCTTAGTATTGGCCGCTACGCTGGCAGCATTCCATGGCTCTTCATGCCATGCGTCCCCACCCGCACCCGCATCATTCTCACTCAACACGCTGCGTAGCGATCATTAGCCAGCCACCACTGCAACGTCGCATGCTGCCACAGGCTGAGTGGCTGTATGTGGCAATGCAATGTGACAAGGAAGAATGCCGAACACTGACGGTCGCTGCTACATCCGCATAGTCATCCCTAGGTGCAGATGTACGGATCGTTGAAGTTCGCGAGTGATGTCATGACTAGGCAAAGTAACACCAAGGGAAGCGTCCGGCTTCGGTGTTGCATGTATACGGAGACACTTACGTCTAAAAATGTTTAATGCTTAAGTCGACGACGACGATGAAGCGCCACCTACTAGTAGTGGGTGCGATCCCATACGTGGCTCAGCTGCGGAGTGTGCTTACATGTGTGATATTTTGCACTAGTTCGGAGTCTTACCCCGTGAACAATCTCATACTGTGTCATACGCGCGGCATCCAGCTCCTGCCCAACTGGGTGAACTCACAAAGCTTGATATTGAACGACATGGGCATCTACCACATCCCACTCATTCATGTGTGGCATCAGAGACATCGCAACCAGGGATAACAGGCACCAATGATTCCACATTATCAATGTTGAGTAGCACAGCCCCATTGCGACATTAGGCGTTCTGAATCGTGATAACATAGCCATCATAATAGCTATAGCTCTCATTTGATGAACATCGGACAAGGCCAAATGGTAAGCGCTCTCGCATTAGACCTGTTTTGAGCCATGAGTACGGTCAACGTTCTCCAATGGCCGCACTAATGCGAGGGACCAACCTTGTCTTACAATGGTCAGCCGTGCAGGAACCCGTACACGACGCAATGTCGCGAATGGATGAAGAGTGAGGACAAGTCGTCATCTTGCGCTCCAATCGCACGACCTCAGTGTGATCTTGGGCATCGCCTCGGTTACACCTTCTCTGCCGATCTGCCGGAAAGGATATTGTGATGAATCTCTCTTTGAGCTACATATCAATGCATGGAGGGTTCAGTTCAGTGTGGCATCCCCTGGGTCCTGACATGCCTCTAACCTTGACAATGTGTCGGCGGCTACTTCAGCTACGACAAGTACTCCCACATAATCACAGATGTTTTTCTTTCCTTCTTGCTTTCCGTGCAAGATATAGCGACCTTCTTGCTCGCACTCTTCTCGGTGATATTTCTGACGTAACATCCACGATTAGGTACTGGGTATTCATATCTATTGCTTGGATTATGCATAGAGCTTGACGGCCTGGCTCTGGATTCCCGCTCACTAACATCC